TGGATGATGGGTGGATGAAAGGACGCACAGACAGATGCTTGGAGGGAGGGAGGGAGGGAAGATGGATCATGGTGGTGGTGGACGATGGGTGGACATGAAGGGGTGGACAGGCCCGCAGCCATTCTCTTCCGTTTTCCCAGGACCAGGCACAGAGAGGTGGTAGAGCAGGTGGGGAGCCGCTCCTCAGGAACAGGGCAGGTTTTCTCAGTGCAGAGGCAACTTGCCTGCTTGCACTTTAACCCATGACCAAGCCTCATCACAGCCCGTGCTCGCCATGGGGCGAGCCCCTGCTGCTCTCTGGAGGAGCTGTGCGCAGGTGGGCCTGGGGCTGCCTCCTTCTGGCCCTCAGAGGGCAGGCTAGGCTGCGGCACCTCGGTATGAAAGGGGGATTCCGAACCCCCGCACCAGGGCTCCCAGCTCACGCTGCAGCCCTCCCGCACCGCCCGACCCACAGGATCTGCAGTGAGGACATTGAGTGCAGTGGGCTGACCATCCCCAAGGCCGTGCAGTACCTGAGCTCCCAGGAGGAGAAGTGCCAGGCCATCGGAGCCTACTACATCCAGCACACCTGCTTCCAGGACGAGTCTGCCAAGCAGCAGGTAGGTGGCTGTGCGCAGCCTGCGCCCCTGGGGCCTGGGCGGGGCAGCCTGGCCCTGTGTTAGAGCTGGTGGGGCGCTGACGGTTGGCTCCTTTGGCTGCTTCCCCCTTGCCCAGCTGCCTGGGGCCAGGAGAGATGAGCGCGGGCATCTTGCCCCTCTGTGGAGAGCAGAGCTCCCTGGCCGAGGGGACATCACTCAGTAGTGTTTCCTACATTGGTTGTGGAAGAGGCTCTTTGGTGACAGCCCTGAGTCCAGCAGAAGCCCCTTCTCAGATTCCACTAGTGACCAGGACTACTTCCTACCCTTCGACTTCTCCCCAAACCCCCTTTCTGTCTGTGTGTGTCCGTCACTCTGTCTGTCTCTCTCTGTCTCTGTGTCCCGAGCGTGGCTGGCAGGGAGGACACCGGAGGACTCTGTGGTCAGCGCAGGGGTGTGGAACCAGAAATGCGATTCTCAGAGTGTGCAGGGTCCTCTGCATCAAGTCCCCACCAGAGGAAAAGTGCTCCCAGAGAGGGCCTCCCTGACGTCTGACCTGCCCTAGGATTTAATTTTTTAAAATTTTCTTCCTTGGGGAGGTAATTAGGTATTTGTTTATTTATTTTAATGGAGGTACTGGGGATGGAACCCAGGACCTCGTGCGTGCTAAGCACAAGCTCTACTGCTGAGCGGTACCCTGCCCCCGGCCCGAGGATTCTGAAGAGCATTTGTACGCATGTTCCCATCTGGTCCTCACCCCACACTCCGGAGGAGAGCAGGGCTCAGGTGTCGGGGAGCTGGCTCTGAATCCCCGCCTCGGCCCCTGCTCTGATGGTCACCATCACTCCGCACTGCTCATTTACGTCCGTCGTCTGGATGTCTGGGACTGAAAGTGGCCCTCCCGGTCTGAGTAGCAGGGCCCCGAGCAGAGCGTCACAGCCCGGCCTCACCGCCTGTCCCCACAGGTCTATCAGCTGGGCGGCATCTGCAAGCTGGTGGACCTCCTCCGCAGCCCCAACCAGAACGTGCAGCAGGCGGCAGCCGGCGCCCTGCGCAACCTGGTGTTCCGGAGCCCGGCCAACAAGCTGGAGACCCGGAGGCAGAACGGGATCCGCGAGGCCGTCAGCCTCCTGAGGAGGACCGGGAGCACCGAGATCCAGAAACAGCTGACAGGTGGGGAGCCCCAGCCACGGGGAGTCGGGGGTTGGGGGGCAGGAGCCAGACCGCTGGCCGAGGGAGCCCCGTGGGCCTGGGGCTGGCCAGGTTAGCGGTGCCCAGTTGGTGACCTTGGGTGTTGTGCCAGGTCTTTCTGAGGCTAGAGGGCAAGGGTGGACCCGAACTCATCGGACCCTGGGATTTGCAGGCGAAGAGGAGAGAGTACGGTGGGTGTGGGCAGGGCTCACAGGTCTTAAGCACCTACCCTGTGTCCAAAAAACATGCTGACAAGCACTCAGGATGGGGACACAGGAGACAGAAGTCACTGGGAAGACCTTGAACTGGACGGGGAGGCTGAGGCCAGGAACAGAGTAACAGTACCTTAGGGATGACTTTCAGGTGGAAAGCAGGACGTCGGAAGATTCTGAGTGCTGGAATTTATATTCAAACCCTGATCAATCGGATGGTTGTTGATTGAGAGGCAGAGGGTGTGTATGCATGTTTAGTCTACAGATGCTGTTTATTTCCAGATTTACGGAGGTCAGCACCTTTTGCCCCACCACCAACGCTGAGTGTTATTCATACATTCAGTGGTAGAGCTTGTGCTTAGCACGCACGAGGTCCTGGGTTCCATCCCCAGTACCTCCACTAAAATAAACAGGTAAATAAACCTAATTACCCCCTCAAAAAAACCCAAAAAACAAAAAAGAACCCAAATGCTTTTTGCACAATTTTGACCTGCCTAGAGAACTCCAGACACTGCGCCCTCAAACAGCCTGCAGTCTAGTTGAGACGAGGGGCCGGTCAGACCGCAGTCTAGGGCGCGAGGCGTGTTTGGCCCGAGCTGGGGGTACTTGGTCCGGTCTCCTGAGCCTGGTGGCCCTCATCCGCAGGGCTGCTCTGGAACCTGTCCTCTGCGGACGAGCTGAAGGAGGAGCTGGTCGCCGAAGCCCTGCCGGTCCTGGCCAACCGTGTCATCATCCCCTTCTCTGGCTGGTGTGACGGCAACAGCAACCTGGCCCGGGAGGCCGTGGACCCCGAGGTCTTCTTCAACGCCACGGGCTGCTTGAGGTGGGGGCGGAGGGCGGCCCTTCTCAGCCAAGGCTCAGCCAAGGCTCAGCCAGGCAGGGGGCTCACACCCGCCTGGCCTCGCGGTCGACTCCCAGATGGCCCAGCGTTCCTAGCTTCCCTGGGACTGGATAAGGCTCAGGACCCCACAGCCCCCTCTGAGGAGGAGCCCGAGAGTGGAAACGCTTGGATCTGAATATCCAAACCCCCATCACCCATCTCCATCCATGTGCATCCACCCAACCGCCCCCTGCCCCGCCCCCCGAGGAAGGCATTTCTTGTGCTACTTGAGGAGCGTTCTTTTAGATAAATGTCTCCTCACGGGCTCCCAGTGAGTCACTTCGCAGCTGCGGCGCTGACACCAGCTGCCACGTTCCTTGGCGTAGAGACGTTACTGCTTTGCCCAGAGTTTCCTGAGCTCTGCCCCGGGGTGTGGCAAAGGCCCTGGCGGCTGCGGTCAGAGGGACAGGGTGTGCTTCCTTCTGGAGGGAGGTCTGCAGGCTGGGGGGGGGTGGGCGGGCCTGGAGGTGGAGCCCAGGAACAAATCCCCTGAAGGTCACACCTCTCGCTAGCAGGGCTTTGCCTTCCCCAACTCTTGGGAGCCCCAGAACCAGGGCACAGCAGGCACGTGCTCCTCTCTGCCCGCCCCCGGGAGCCCCTCCAGGGAGCGAGAGGCTGGGGAGGTGGAAAGGTACTCAAGCACTTGGTGGGGCGGCAGCCGCTGCACCCCACCTGCACCAGCGGCGGGGCCCACTCTGCTGGGGAGTGAGCCCACCAGGCGCAGAGCAGCTTCCACGGGGACGGGCAGACCCCTGGCTCTGGTCCCCTGCCCGGCAGCCCAGAGAGCTCCTGCTGCCCCCCAGGAAGAGACGGGCAGGCGGAGCTTCCAGCCCCCATTCAGCAAGTGCCCGTGAGGGCAGGTGTGTGCCCCGGGCTGCCAGCTACCCTGGAGCCGTGGACACACAAAAGTTACGGGCCTGGGACCCCAGTGGGCAGGGAGAAGTGGGGGGAGAGCGAGTTCCCACGAGGCCCCGCCCTCGCCTCTGCCGGGCCTGAGCAGAACTGGCTGAGTGATGTCTCCTTCCTTCCTCTGCCCTCATTTGCTGCCCTCCTCATTCCTTTCCTCTCCCGCCCGTTCTTCCTCCAACCTCCGCCCCCTCCCCTCGGCCCCTTCTCCCCACAACCTGCTCTCCCCACTCCCATGGCCCTCACCACGCTCTCTCCCTCCCCCTCCCTCTCCCCCTCTCTCCACCCCTGTCTTTCTCCTCCCTGCTTCCCCCTCCCCATTTCCTCCGTCAGGAACCTGAGCTCCTCTGACGCTGGCCGACAGACGATGCGAAACTACACCGGGCTCATTGACTCCCTCCTCGCCTACGTCCAGAACTGCGTGGCAGCCAGCCGCTGTGACGACAAGGTGAGGTAGCCCTCAGGTGGCACCCGGCCCCCAGACTCCTCTCAGACCAGTGAGGGTGGCCTGGGACTCCAGGTCCTGGCATTTCTCTCTCCCGGACTCCAAAGGGCAGGTCTGCACTCTTGTGAGCCTCTTAAGGCATGACCTGATGGTGGGAAGGAGCCCAGAGCCCTGGCCAGCGGAGGGGAGGGGACATCTGGATGCTGAGAGCCCTGACCCCTCCCTGGGGGGGTGGGCAGGCGGGCGCTGGGGTGGTGGCTACAGGGGCAGATCTTCCCTGACTTAGAGGCTTTGTGAATGCAGGGGCTTCTGTGGTCTCTTTTCCTCAGTTTGCCCTTTGCTCAAATGAAGGTGGTCACCGTTGTACCCACCTCAGGGCTTGTTTTAAGGACTCAATTAGTTGATAAAACAGGAAGAGAGCACCTGGCTCCGGGCGAGCTCTCCGTGAGCATCTGCTGCCCCTAGCCCGAGGGGTATACACAGGTGCCCCAGGGTCTCCGCTCCTCCCTGAGCACCACTCCTGTCTTCCCACTGCCTCACCAGAAGGCTCCTGGCAGAGCCACCCTCCCTCCCCCTCGGGACTCTGGACAGCCGCACAGACAGACAGACAGAAAGGGGAAACCATGGCAGGAGATAAACTGGAGGCCAAGGCCCTCCCACACAGCAGGACAGAGGTCCTGCCATTAAAGAGGGGATGGTGGAGTCCTGGGGACTGACGGCTTTGAACCTGAATTGCTCGGGGCTGCTTCTGAAGGGGTGGGTCCTCCAGAGCCCAGGCTGAGCCTTTCATGTTGGCCGGAGCCGCAGAAACGGTAGCCACTGTCTGTGTCCTACGATGTGCTGGGCCTCCTGTGGGTCCTTTCCGTGGGTAGCCTCTCCAGTAGCCAGTGAAGCTGGTGGAAGCTGAGGCCCAGAGAGGCAGAGCAGGTCACCCACACTCACACAGCTGGAGATGGCAGGACCCGATTCAAACCCAGGACCCGGGAGGCGTCCCTGAGGGCCTTCTCGGACTGCGGTGGGCAGGGCCCATGCTGTCCACCCATCCCAGAGCAGCCGTGGGGCCCGGCCCTCTCGTTGGTGACAGCAGGGGCCTGGCAGGGGCTCAGTGCGAGCTCTGCTTGGCCCCCAGTCTGTGGAGAACTGCATGTGCGTCCTGCACAACCTCTCCTATCGCCTGGACGCCGAGGTGCCCACCCGCTACCGCCAGCTGGAGTACAATGCCCGCAACGCCTACACGGAGAAGTCCTCCACCGGCTGCTTCAGCAACAAGAGCGACAGGATGATGGTGAGCCCGCCTGCCAGGCCCGCCGG